GTGTTAGAGTGGGTGTGTAGCATGCATGAAGTTCTGGCACTGAAAAAGAAAGAGAAGATTTCTTTATGATCTGTATTTTACAATACAAAAAGCCAAAGAAGACCAGACACCCAAAGATTTCAACCAAGTCAGAAATGGAGATTTTTAAGAATAAAAGAAACCAGTTGTAGATGGTGAGTGTCTGTGATCCTAGCTGCTTAGGAGGCAGAGGCAGGCAGATCACTAGAGTCCAGGAACTTAAGGCCATCCTGAACAACTTAGTGAAACTCTGTCTAGAAAGTAAATGACTGACTAAAGCATAAGTAAATAAATAAACAGCTGAGCGGGCTCTGTGGAAGGGTTTGAATGTGTTCCTGGGGAACGACACGGCACACTGTGTGAAATGCTCATTTTCTATACTGATCCCACACCCTCCTTTTATGCAGCCGGAGTTTCAAAAAGGGAAAAATAAAACCCGTGGGAAGGAAAGAGAGACCGCTGTCTGTTATTATGCTAACTTCTTGGGGCAAATCACATCTGAGTGGCTGGAGAAGGAAGAGAAGCAAAGAGCAAGGCAAAGTGCACACAGTCAAAACGTGCAGGGGCTGGGGATTTAGCTCAGTGGCAAGAGCGCCTGCCTGGCAAGCGCAAGGTCGTGAGTTCAGTTCCTGGTACCGGAGAAAAACCAAAAAAAAAAAAAAAAAAATCGTGCAAAGCCCTTCAAGGTTGACACCAAACTGAAAGCGGAGAAAGGACAGCCCGGATCATTTGCCACAACCTCGTTCTTCTCACTTTCAATTTTGGCATAATGTCAGACGTCCAGAAGAGTGGCAAGAACACGTTCTATGCGAGCACGTTGGGCCACGTTCCCCAGGTCTTAATCACCTGTATCACAGCGTGCTTTGTTCTGTCTGTGTGTGTCTGCCTCCCATTTTTCTTTACGGAACAATCTGAGTATAAGTTGCAGATGTTTACACCTGTTTACCTGTGCATACTTTAGAATTTATTCCCTAAATCTAAAAGAATATTCTTTTTTACAATGACCAAATATTTTTTTTTTTTAAAATAACCTCCAGCATTTGTTGCACTCCTGTTTTCTTTGTTGGTACATGTTTATGATACATAATGATTACATTCTCCTGGGGAAATTGCTACGTACACAGAGCTCATCTTAAGCATTTTTACTTATCCTTCCGCTCCCAGTCTCTCCCTCTCCCTGTCCCTCTGACTCCAAATCCCCTGTCCATCTCCACAAAGTCTCCCCCCCGTTTCCTATTGTCTTTTATTTTACTCTTTCAATCATTTATGAAAAATTAATATTGCCACAATGCTATGTTTTAAGTGACAGACCTTTAGGGCGCTTTTACTTCATTATCCCGGTGATGTCTTTCTTACTAAAAAAAATGCAGGATCAACCTTGATCACTTAGGTGAGGGAGTGTCTGCTGATTTGCACGACCTTGAAGCTGTTATTTTTCCTTACCTTTTTAAAATTGACAAATGTGCCGGGTGTGATGGTGTATGCTTGTAATCCCAGCACGCAGGAGGCTGAAGCAGGAGGATTGCTCTGAATTCGAGACCAGCCTGGGCTACATAACTGAGTTCAAAGCCAGCCTATAGTACATAGTGAGACTCTGCCTCAGAGCATCCAAAATAAATAAGTAAGCAAACAAACAAATACGTTCATAACCCTAATAGCAAAGTTCTTATCCAGGACATACTGCACATATGACAAGTGTCTCATAATGGAGTTGAAAAACTCCTGTCATCTAGTGTTTTCACTGCAACTTTTTAATGTTTTCATAGTTTTACTTTAAATTTTTACTGAGTATTTGTTTGTGGTACTGGGGATCAAACCTAGAAGCTCATGCATGCTAGGCAAGCACTCTCCCACGGAGCTACACCCCCAGCCCTTTTTAAACATTTGATTTTGAGACTGGATCTTCCTAAATTGCCCAGATTGGGCTTGAACCTGTGACCCTGCTGCCTCAGCTCCCAAGTAGGCTGGGAGTACAGGTGTGTACCTCCGTGCCTGGCTGGATATGCTCAAATATAAACTTACCATCGTGCTACTGTTGTCCACAGTGTCCACATTGTCCACAGAGTGACGTGCTATATAATTTTGGAGCATGGGGACAAGAAGCTACACCACGCAACCGACGTGTGTAGTCGGTTTGTGTAAATATGCTCTATGATGTTTGTACAATGACGAAACTGCCGAATCCACGCATGACTGTATCTGGCAAGGGATAGGCGGAGACTCTGTAAATACTCCATTATTCCTCCTGGAGGGCTGTTGCCCAAGTCAACTAGGGAGGAGCTCGTAAGAGCTTTGTGTATCCATCCGATGATTTCAATAGGAGGATTTCAGTTTTTAGATCTTAGGGCACAGGGGCCGGGAATCCTCTTAAAAGGAAAACAGATGCACCTTGAGACCATAATGTGAAGTAAATCAGAAGCACAAGCTGAAATAGTGCACGGTTTCTCTTACATGAGAAACCGAAAGTATCAATAAAGAGCAAAATAAAAGACAGATAGTAGGAAACGAGGAGATAGCTCTTTTGCAAGAGGAAAGTGGAGGGAGAGACGGAGAGGGGAGGAGGGCGGGGAGGAGCAGAGGGCAGAGAAGGACTTGGGATGTACTTTGTACGTGCGCGCCAGCTCCTCACGAGGAATGTCATTACGTCATTACGCACTGCAAACGTGCGCTAATACAGATAAAGATTTAAAAATCTCCCCGGGCCTTTGCACAGGCTGTTTCCTCTATTTGGGCCTCTCCCGCAGGTCCCGCAGGTCCTCTCCCTCTCCTGGGCCTGCTCCCCGTCCCTTTCAAACTTCATCTCAAAATTCGGTCCGCAACACCTCGTTCCCCGTTCACCCGCGTCCCTCCTGTCCTCGCACACAGCCCCCCACACCCTCGTGTGAGCTCTTACAAGGAAACTCACCGTGTGTGTTCTGCTCACTGTGGAACCCTGCTTACTTACTGCCTGTGGTTTCTTCCATTCAGTAAATATTTAGTCACTCACCGAGATGTCAGACACGGGGGGGGGGGTGAGGTGGTGAACGAGACAGGCAAAAGATTCCTACCTTTGTGGGACGGAAGGGAAGAGGAGCCCTAAAATAATAAATAAGAATTTCGGGAAGAGACAAGCATGCGAGGAAACAACAGACAGGAGAAAAAGTCAGGGGAAGGAAGGAGAGGGTCTGCAAGGCCTGGTGGGAGCTCCCGGGAGCAGGCAGGGCGGCCAGGCTGCGGACACCGTGGACGCCGCCCGCGGGAAGGCCTTCAGGCGGGAGAAGTTTGACTTCTGGAGCAACGTGGGCCTCGTTCCTGGCAAGTTAGTATTTATTTAATAAAGAGCAGAAGGAGGGAATGGCTTGGGTCTCGGGTGGCGGTGGACGCTTTTGGAAGTTCTATTTCTCACTCACTCCCCAAGTCCGGCGTGGGAAATGAGCAAACCCATTAGAGCGGTAGGAGCAAGTCAACCATCCCCGACTACACGGGAAGTGCGGGGTCGGGAGCACCCCCGATCCAGTTTTGGCTTTCTATACACTTGAGGCCCCTTCCCTGCAGGTCGGAGGGCCACAGCGGTGCCCTAGGCCTGAACGACGCTCCGAGATCCTCAGACCTGGCGCTCGGCTGCGCGTGTTGGAATTCGAGCGCGTCCACCTGCACCCTGTGTGAGGTCCCCGGCGTCCCTTGCGCTTTTGAGGAACTTCTGTATAATCTCCCGGTGTCGCTTCTTCAATTTCAACCGCGGCCTGTCCCTAGGGGCCCAGACCGCGACGCACTGGGAGCGCGCGGGGCTGTGGACACGTGGCTGTGGCCGTGGCCGGCTGGGCTGGGGCGCACGCGGGGAGGAAGGGACCCTGGGGCGCCTGCTGGTCACTGCAGGACCGAAGTCTCAGGTGGGGCGGGACTAGGGCGAATTGAGACTAACACGACTCGCTTGGGCTGCAAAATTTGAGAGAGCCCCCCCCCCCCCGCAGTCACCCGGGGAAACAGTGTTTCCAAGCAACGTTTAAAACAGTTACAATGAATCAAGACAATCTTTTTTGTTTCCGAGTAACTCCTTTTGAGGACAATGACACACAGTACCGTGTTAGTGCTTTTGTCATTTTGTCATGGTATTTTATTTTTTCATTGAAAAAAAACGAAGAATAGCAAATTAAACTTCAAATCAGGAAAAAACCATAACAAAATGGCAAAAGAAAGACAGGATCCGTGCCTTTGGGTCGGGCATCCGGGGCGCACCCAGCATCTGAGACTGGAGACTCGGGTCTGTTTGGGGCGGACTCGCAGGGCGGGAAACCGGGGCGCCCCTTTGCGCTGGGTGAGCTCAGAGCCCGGGGCGCGGGGCCC